AAGCAGATTTTCCTCTTCAGAAAAGAAGCCAGTGACTGGCCAAATGAAGGAAGAGAAGTAATACCCAAAGAGTCTAAGAGTAACTTAAGAATTTCTGGCTGAATTCAATTAGAACAAAGAGACTCATCATTTGTTAAACTATACAGCAAAGAATAAAAAAATGGCTAAAACACACAGCCTCCCACATTCCTGTTTCATTAAGGGAGAGGGCATGTCGAAGCAAAGCAAGTCTGCTCTAGAATATAAGTACACCAGGGTAAATTGGATTGATCAATGCTGGACTTGCAAGATGGTATGCAAAGATGCAGCTGAAGTCATCTTTATCCCCAATCTACAGACAAAGCTGTACAGCTCCAAGAAAGATGACAGCTGGCTATGCAGGACAACCGTTTGCTTCAACCAGGAATCATTTTTAGCTTTTCCAAGTAAAAGAAGTAAGCTGCCAAATATCACCTATTGTATGAACTCAGTAAAAAACCCCAGACATGACTAAACACAGGAAGCAGGTAACAAGCTATGCACTGGCAGCCAGTATGTTCTTTCCTGTTAGAAGATAAAGCAGCCCAAAATGTGCTTGTGGAGCGAGCTGCCCTCTTCACAAACAAAAAATACAATGGCTCTCTCGGATGCAAAAAAACAGTTGTTCAGTGACAGGGGAAGGTGAGATCAAATAAATAAATAAAAGCAGAAATTTTAAGTGTGTTTGTGCTACAGAGTAACTGCTTCATATGCATAAAACTTAACAGGGTTGTGATGGTTTGTATGAGGAAGTAAAACAGAAGTCAACTGTGAGACTGACAGGAATCTTTGAAAAAGGAAGTGACTTTTAGATGATCAGCAACTGTCTGAAGAGCATTTGCAGAAATAAGCTAGCTGTTGCTATATTACTTAAATTACTTCAACAAAAAAGAGCTTAAAAATTAGTTTCTTAGCCCCAACACTGGGACTATACCACAGTCAAGCTAATACTGAAGTAAAAGAAGGACATTTTATCATTTTGTTTCATATCATCTGTCGTGGTTTAACCCCAGCCAGCAACTAAGCCACACACAGCCGCTTGCTCACTCCGCCCCGGTGGGATGGGGGAGAGAATGGGAAGAGTAAAAGTGAAATAAAGACAGTTTAATAAGTAAAGAAAAAGCCGCGCAAACAAGCAAAGCAAAACAAGGAATTCATTCCCTCCTTCCCATCGGCAGGCAGGTGTTCAGCCATCTCCAGGGAAGCAGGGCTCCATCGTGAGTAATGGTTACTTGGGAAGACAAATGCCATCACTGCAAACGTCCCCCCCTTCCTTCTTCTTCCCCCAGCTTTATATGCTGAGCATGACGTCATATGGTGTGGAATATCCCTTTGGTCAGTTGGGGTCAGCTGTCCCGGCTGTGTCCCCTCCCAACCCCTTGTGCACCCCCAGCCTGCTCGCTGGTGGGGTGGGGTGAGAAGCAGAAAAGGCCTCGACTCTGTGTAAGCACTGCTCAGCAATAACGAAAACATCCCTGTATTATCAACACTGTTTTCAGCACAAATCCAAAACATAGCCCCACACTAGCTACTATGAAGAAAATTAACTCTATCCCAGCCAAAACCAGCAGTATATTCCTTGGTAAGACTTCTTTCACCTCCCAGCCACCAAAAAAACCAGCATGCATGGTGATGTGCAAAGATACGCTATTACTAGTATTGCTTTTACTTACAACTTTTACTCTCATCATTTCGAAACTGGAAATAGCTTCCCTGCCCTTCCCAACTCAAAGCCTCTTGACTGAAAAGAATAGGAGAAAGCTACTCCATTCCTTCCCAAAATAGCAACAAGGAGAGATTAAATTTAACTGCTGCTTTACTACACAGAAGGTTCTAAAATGCAGCAATATTACTACCATGTTTCTTTAAAAAATCATTATTGCAATTTTCACTCTACAACTACATAGAGGGCAATAAGGAAACTGCAGCAATCTGTATCATTATCACATGTAGAATATGTAAGCAGATCAAAGTGGCTCATTTTCATCAGATTAGTTTTTTGAATGGCTTAATTCTCATCTCCTTTCTTCATTCATCCACTGACCACAATGCCCTAAGTTGTCTTAAAGATTCCACTGAGGATAAAATTCTCTTCCACCACCAGAGAAATTTCACCATGAAGATTTTTACATTTCTGTATTACAGAAGGGTTTTCAAATACCAACCATTACAGTCATTAGCTCTTTTTTTTTTTCCCTATTCACTAGAAAACTATGGGTGCATTACAAGCGTTTTAATTTGGACCACAAGTGCACTTTTGAAGCAACTCTCCCAAGTATTGCTACTTACTGCTTTTTGGTTCATATTGTTTAGCATCGGAGGTAAAGGAAGCTTCCCTTTTAGAACAGGCTGAATTGGAAGATGCGCTTCAAGAGCATACCTACTGCACTCCCCTACTGCAATCCAACCACACATAGGCATTCAGTCCACGGGACCTCATTAGAGGTAATCCAAAGTAAAATACCCCTGAAGGATGTGTAGTGTGCATGTCAGGTCCTCAGTGTCAACTGTTCCACTCCACAGACATCTTTCCAGAGGTCCACACTACTTGATAATGTATTAGTAGATCAAGCTTAAAGTTGGTTTCATAAAACTGGACAATTAAATTCATATCAGCAATGAAAAGGAATCTTATAATAAGTCATGTGTTAATCTTCAGCTGCACTTTCACCTTGTCATTCTAAAAGGGATATATATAAGTAGTGGCAATCAGAAGACCATTGTTTGCCAGCTGATGAGACATCTCAGCAAAAATGCCTTTAGATAGAACATTAGTTAAACTTTTAAGTGCAAGTATTTGGCAATCCTGAGATCTAGTGAAAAAGCACAGCTCTAGACTTCCAAAGTCATTAATTCGGCTAAGTTTCATTAAAACTAGCACAAGAAGTAAATCCCCTAATAACTTTGGAAATCGCAAACATATTTTTTCATTCTTATCCTGGTCGCCCAAAATCTCTGTGTGCAATTAGATTGACTAAGGATTTATACCATTCTTAAGTCTTCCTTTTTTCTCCTCCATATCCGGATGTATCCTATACTAGAGGGGAAGACCTGATCTGTCCAGTTCTGAGAATTACAATTTCATGTAAAATTACACAGCATGTGTACAAACATAAATGCATATACACACAAAAAAATAAATATATACTCACTTTTGGTCAAGAACAATGTCAAAGAACAACTAAATAAAGAGTATATAAAATCATAAAAATTTAGGCCTGGGTTTCACATGTGTAGTAAGGTTCAGGCATCCGTCATCCATCCTTTATCTGGCCACCCACTGCTGCTGCAGTACTACCACTTGCTGCGTACAGCAACATAGATTGGACAGGCCCACAGTGAATCTTTCCCCCAACCTACCAGGGTAGATCAGTTATCCTGATCCCATTCACCAAATGGCTGTATAAACCTCTGTTATGACAAAGGCCAAGAGCAATAAAGTAGGCACAGAATACTCTTAGGGGATAGGCTGGATTGCAGAATTTGATTGCTGTCAAAGGAGTGTATTTTCCAAGTCTTTGTTAGAAAAAAACAATAGTGTATTGCTTTACAGAAGTCAGGACGGACAGTGGACTGTATATTGGCTTTTAATTTTGTCTGGATTAATTAATTCTAGACAAGAATTAGAATTCCATTATGAGTCACTGGAAGGTACTTTATATGGGATACCATAGCCTACAACAGAAATAAATATTCCTGGAGATTTTATTACCCCTCAGCATATGCTGATTCAAAATTAAGTATTTTCTGTCCTTGTCTTGTTTTGTTTCATTCTGAAGCATTTTGCCAAGTTTTTCTACAATATATTTTATGACTTTTGTATTTCCATATTCCAACTAAAAAGAGGCAAAGAATTAAAATTTATTTACTTTCAATACATTTTTAAATAAACACCTGCATAATTGCATTTGAAGTAACAAGTTACAGCCCACATTTACCATAAACTATTTTGAAAGCTTACATTAAATATAAATATTTCTCAAGTTTGAAAGAAAGTCAAGTAAATGCTTTTGCGGAACCATCTGCCTAAATACCTGAAACAAGAGTTTGCTGATTTGCTAAGCCAGTTTTTAATGATAATAATCCTCTGTGGGAACAGAGTGAATACTTTCTTCATTTTGATGTATTTAAAACTCTCTGTCCATTGTCTAACTATTTAAATTTTAGAAGCCAATTGGGAATCTAAAAGGGAGGAAAGCTTTTTATTTTCCTCCAATTTAAATAACCAAAAAGAAGATTAAATTTTCCTAGTCTCAAGTCTAAAGGGTATAGTAACTAGAACTATCCAATTAATTTACTAGCTACACGGCAAAGAAAACCCTTCACTTTTGTTTAATGATTAGCTTTAAGTATCAAACATGTTTTGACCAACTTTTACTTTAAGAAGCTTATATATTTTAATTGGATTTAAACTTCCATCCATATACAAAAATAATGAATTTCAAAATATTAAAAGTTGTTGGAATTAATACAGCGCTGGGAAGACAGTGATTTAAGTTATTAAAAAGGAGATATAAAGCTAAACTTTGTCATAGCTGAGCTGCAACACATCCATTTCCAGATATGCATTGCACCAATTATTAGCTCAATAGAATGTAGCTCAGTGCAACACTGTTCTGCGTACCGCTCCAGCTTTCTAAATACTGCAGCATGAAGGAACAGAGAAGACAATTATGTACTAATGAGTCTAATTTACAATCAGCTCAAAGTGCACAAGTCTAATTAGCATCTTTGCAAAATACATTAACAAGATGCATCTGTGCTTGCTTTAATAAATCTGATAATATTATTATTATACGTGATTTCATTACCTACTTTTCTATTTAAGATTAAATTATTCATGATGAGTTGGTCTGTCCTCCTGTATTCAGTGAAGTACTATAATAAACTAGGGATTTTTCCTGTTTTGTTCCTCAAAATGAAATGCATCCCTAAAAGGTGAAAAGTGAATAATATAGCAAAATACCACATGATCAACTTACCACTGCCACAGCATCACTAGAAAGAACGGCTTCGATATCCAGCACTGTATAGTAAGCTATATTGGTCATAATATAGATAACAGTCACAATTGGCATAGACACTGCAATAGCCAGTGGCAAGTTCCTGTAACACAAAAAAACCCCAAAACCCACAACCCAGGAAAAAAAAAATCCATTAATAACAGAATAAACTTATTTATTTGCATCCTTTACCTTAGCAATAAAAGGTATGAAGACAGTATAAAGATTTCAAAATAGGTATCTCTGAAGAGTTTGGTTTCTTTTAAAACTAGAAATTGTAATACAGAATACTGGAAAAAAAATCTCATTTTTTGCAATAACTTAAAACCTAAATTATGTGTAGAAAGGGAATCTATGCAACTGCTTTTCAAGTACCGTAACTTCAGGGTTTCCAGATCAGTAATAACAGCCTTCAAATTTACATGCTTTAAATTATCTCCTACTGGCCCTGTTAATTACCACAACTAGAACCCAAAGGGGCAGAGCTCTGAGTCACCACACTCATTCTCCCGGGGGAATGCTGCTGTTCTTCTAGCACTCACTTCTAGAACTGATGTAGGGAGATCCACTAAACCAAACCCAACCCCTGGTCTTCTCATCTGCACTCATCACTGCAGAGAACAAACTAATTGGGCTGCATAACTGCAGAAAGTAGAGATGCAGAGGACAGATCCAAAATTGCTGCACAGCTATGAATCTCTGGATGTGGTGTATCTTACTAGCAAACACATGTCTAGAAAGTAATACAAAAAAAGTCTGGAGTAACATGAAAACACTGCAAACCTCTAGATGTAAACAGGTAAGATCTAATTTAAAGCTGAGAGAAACTCACAGCCCTGAGTCTGCAGCTCCACAGGGAGAAACTCTGCAGAGCAGAAGCAGAAGCAAACTTTTAATCTTAGGCTTTGGCTTTTCTCAGCCTTATTCTTTCCCCAAAGCTTGCAGGGATATTCAAATGTCTCAAAAGGGAAAGCAAAACTGAGAGTGTTACTCTCGCATTTGCCCAGCTTGAAATCAAACACGACATGGTGACATGGATGAGCATTTGCCATGAACACGGTTTTCAATAACCCCAACAAAAAACCACCAAAACCCCAACAAAGCAGAAAAATAAAATGCACTTTGGAAGTTTCCTCAAAAATTTCCTGAGGCTCAGAACTCCAGCTGGGTCAGTCTGATGCTGTGGAAGCAGAAAAACAAACACACGCCACATCCCCCCCAATATAAATCAGTAAATTAGTAACTGGGAGTTCTGAGACTGCTTTCAGGTTGCACACTCACAGTAAGAGACCTGTGAACCTCAGCGCAGAGAAGAAACAATTAGAAAACCACTTAGAAATTAATTCAGAAATGTTACTTAATGCAACAAAAAGCTGAAATGGCATTTTAAGGACTTTGCATCACCCAAGATTAAAGCCAAGGGACTGTTTCAAATTTAACTTGTGGATTGCAACTTTTGACTGGACAAGCATGAGGGCACTATGAATCAAGTGAATATGAAAAGTATGTAATTCTTGGAGTAATTTTATAGAAGTCTGGAACATCTCATTATTCCCAAGAATTGTCAATGTAGAAAGCTGAAATTTGAAGTTCACTTTATCAGCTACAATTGTCACCAAGAATGAAGCTTGTATTAGGCATTGATGCTTATAAATAGCAAAGCAAATGAATCTAAAGAAATTTTCATCAGATGAATATCCTGTGAGAAAAAATTACTTTTCAAAACAATAGATAACAAGAGTTATCCAACTGATAACACAGAACAATACACTAACTTTAAAAAGATGAAAAGGCATTGCAACAGCACTCTAAAGGGGAGCTTTTTCAGTGGAAAAAATACAATTTGAAGGACCAAATGACTGGTGCAAATACAAAACGTACGTCTCTTTTGAATACATATTACAAACCTTTGCAAGACAATTTAAGGAAACACTGTCAACCTGAAATTCTGACTAAAAATAACTATTTTTAGAGTTAAAATATTTATCTGCTATTTTACCTTTTTAATAGATAACTTTTCTGGTTAAATGAATGCACAGCATAGAACTCAGGGGTAACAGAACAAACTGCAAAAGTCAACATCAGTTGGGAGAACTGGCAGGGGGGGGGGGGAGGGGGGGGGGGGGGGGGAGGAATCTATGTTCCATTCTTTATTTTTTGGTTGTAGCAATCTGAGCTGTTGCTTATAATAGGAAGTGAAAACTATCAAATGGAATTCTATTTTTAACACAAAGGCATCTGCTTACAGACTCACAACTGAACAAGATTAGTCAGTCACTGTTAGAGCATAAATTCATGGAAAAGATAACATTCTTAAATATGAAATCATTCTTAAATAGCAAATCAGAATTATTGCACAGATAAACACAGCACAGACTACAGTTATGTAACTGTTTCACTGCAATATTAACACCTATTGTAATAAATAGTAGCAACATCTTGAACTGAAAGCTTATCAAGCACTGAATACAGCATCCTGCAATCGTCTGAACTTACTTATTCTTACCTTTTTTTTTTTCATTTTTAATGGAGTTTAAAACTAATAAATCTTTGCTAATGGCTGTTCACAGCCTTACCATCTAAGTATAGAACAGTTCTACTCATTTCCGTATAAGCTCAGAACTCATTAGTGAAAGACAGCCACAAAACGAGCAACTTGGGAACTATCCAGGTTTAGAAAGCTCAAATCATTTACCTTTCTGGGTTTTTGATCTCTTCCGTTACAAAATTGAGTGTATCCCAACCAGAGTAAGAGAACAAGGCAGAATAAAGCGCGAGGGAAATGTCTCCGATATCAAAAGAGGATCCCTCAAAAGAGTTCTCAAAGTGCGATGAATGTCCTGTGTGTGGAAGAAATGCAATGAAGTACAGGATAATAAAATACAGCAAGTAATTTTTTTCAATTTGGCACACAAATACAAGAAAACTCAGAAACCCTAATTCCTTCAAAGCTGCTTATTAATCCCTTTTTCCAATTCTACTCTGTGCTTCAGCCATGAGAATAAGCATGGCATTTAAACTACTAAAAATTATGCTCTGTGGATGATACTGTTCTATAATTAAACACCTAGTTTGTCCACAATGGCACAAAAAGTTCAGGAACATTAAGTTCAGACTAAGCTACAAACAACTGGCAATGACAATACTCAGGCTGAGGCTATTTTTTATAACATATGTATTTATAAAATAATCCACTCTGCCCTTCTATATCCTTTTAAATTTTCAATCATTTATCCTATGCAGAAAACAAAGATTACAGTTGATTTTAAATAACTATGACCAAAAAAACTCCCACTAAATGGATGTTTAAGTTTTAGCTATTAAAAATAGAAAACTGAGAATTAACAGAACATAAAATATTATTGTTACTTGAGATAAAATTTTCCCAAGCTAAGAGAAAAAGCGTATTTTTTTTTTGCACCAGTATTTGTGAGAACTTGTGCCATCTTTTGATTTTAAGCAAGTCAAGACAAGCTCATCAATGGCAGTTTTATATATTTAGACTATTTTACATATGCAGACACACACACAAAAACACCAAATACAGACAGGTGAGTAACTATGTATCTCCAAAACATGCCCTGTACTATGCATCCTGAAATGTTTAGACTTCATCGAAACTGGCCAGGCAAATATTTGAGGCCTCTATAATACCTTCACTTCTTTCTCTTTTTTATCCTAACCAGATATTGCTATTCCCTTGGCACAGACACAGGCAGAGTAACTGCTTAATTAGAAACACAGAAGGGAGACAATGTCAAGGAAGTTAGTAGTGAACAAGCTCAGTATCTACAAAACAAGGGATGGGCAGATGTGCTAAGGATTAAACACTCCAGCATGGTGCTCACATATGCATATTCTTGTTCCATTCACAATAATTACCTTGCTCATGGACTTTCAACAATAACCGGTTAGAGCAAAGGACACAAATTGCCAGATTGCCAGGGAAAGACCTTTATGGCAGCTTTGAAAGCAGGGTAATTTTTTTAAGCTAACACACCAATAAATTCTCCCCAAAGGAAGAGATAAGAACAAAACTAAGTTCAGAATTCCTCTAACTTGAAGGCACAGTGCCCAACACACACACAAATTTAAAAAAAAATAAATAAATCCAAAACCCCAGCAACTTTCTAATTCTCAAAAGCTATAACAGAACTCAGGATTTGAGCAAAAAAAAGAGCTGCTGTTTCACAAATCTACTTACATGTTCTTACAAATCTATTTTTACTTCAAGTTCAGTCACTTTCAGACTTGCACAAAATTCATTTTGTAAAAAAATATTCAGTTGATCTCATTGTAAAGTAGTATGCTCCTTACAGAAATTTACAGCTTTCTCCGCTCCCATCGTATTTTGCTAGCTCTGTATTTTGCTGTTTTCATTTCCTTTATTATTTCATACCGCAGGCTGTAAGTTGAACAACATTGCTGAGCAATCAGTTACCTTCTCGTACCTAGTTCAAAGTCAGCTGAGATAGGATAGCTTCTCATGATATAATATCATGATAATGCCTAACTTTGGTATTATTGGTGTTTTCAAAGTGGCTATATTATGCTTGTACTGAGGCATTTGATAACACATACAGAGGTATTTTACAGTCTTTAGACCAGTTACTCAGTTTAACTGATAAATACAAACCTTTGCTTTAATTTTATAAGCTTACCCTGGCATATTTTAACAAGTCCGGTTATGATGATGACAATAAGAGCAGTGACTTTAGCATAAGTAAATATATCCTGCACCCGTGTTCCCCATTTAACGTAGGCACAATTTTTAAATGGAAAGGCCCCGGGGGGGGGGGGAGAAAAAAAAATGAACAATATTCAGTTTAATTCATTTTTCAAAGATTTTAAATTATAATCTAAATATGCACTTACCTGTTATATTAATACTTAGGTTAAACTAAGCAAAATACACTGGTACTGAAAATACACTGGTTTAAACAAAACAGTAGGAAACAGATGTTCTAAACACACTGTTTCAAAAGATGGAAGGAAGGACCTTCCCCTTCTCTGATTACATGCCCATTTTCCTAACGTTACCCCCATCAGCGGCACTCTGCAACTATCCTGAAGCTAAAGAAAGCATTGCATAATTCATTTCAATGTATGAATATTGTTCTGATAAATGAAAGATTATCTAGAAATTCCTTTAGCAAACATATTAAAATAGTGTGTGAAAAGTTTTTTCCCCTTCCTTGTTAGTCTGAGGATGAGTTCAACATCCACAGAGTATTTGTAATACTGAATGTGGTCACAGGCAATTCAATACTCTTTTCCAGTTGTATTAAACTATTACTAAGCGAGGTTAGAACAGATCTGACCAAGTAACATAGGCTTTACAGCTAAGGCAACATTAATCTGGATTTTAAAGAACTGGTAGTAAGTAATAAGTATTCTGAATATATTCCTCCCTCTCTCCCAAAATACATCAGTCTCAGACCTATTTCACAAGACTGTAATGGAACTTGAAGTGAGACCTTCAGATTTCACAAATATTTTAGTAACAGCGGCTGACTAAACTTACTCATATGATCAACTTCCCCAATAAACACATTTCAAGCTATTGTTGAAATACATTGTTCTCATGGCTCTCAACATTTTGCTTTTGCATTTATTACTTTTTCCTCAAGTGGAGAGCCAGACAACTTCTGCCTGAACTCAAATGCTGAATATTGAATAGGATTCAGTATCTTCAGTATTCTTTATTGAACAAAATACTAATTCAGTGCATAGTTTTCTTACCCAGATTATCATTACATTATTGATTCCAACCCAGAAGTTTTCCCCAAATCTCTTTTTCCCCCCAACTAGTAAAAAAGTCGTTATATTCTACTATACTTTTTATCTCCAAACAATTTTCTTGTACTATGTATTTTAAATATGCATAAAAATAAAACCTAAACTTTATTGTTTAAGGAGTAAAGTAGTAGTAAATCAAAATTAAATGAAAAGATGTGATAAATTATTTCCTTTCCCATAATCCAAGAATAATGTGATACTATTACGATAAAAATGTACTTAGCACAGTTACCAAATAGAAAAGTAACAATTTTAAAAAGATAACAAAAGAAAGGTAATGATCTCAGAAGCGTGGCACTAGTACACTGGACAGTCTGGCCAAGTGGAATAGCTGAACGAGATTCCACTGAGCTTGGCAAGATGAGGGGAAAAAAACAGTTGTATCAAATTTCAACAGTCCAGACTGCCACAGCTCCCAAAGAGCCCTCAGGAAAAAAACAACTCTGCTTGGTCTCTGCTCTGCAGTTTTAATGATCGGTATTATCTATGGAGTATTTGCTCACAGGGTTTATTTTGGCCATTAATTTTTTTTTTTTAAAGCAACTTTCATTGGGAATAATTATTATTAACTCCTTATTTTAGTGAGTTAGGACTTGTTCCCTGCTTTAGATGAAATGCTACTCTGCTTCTGATATCTTAAAAGAAAAAAAAAAAAGATAATCAAGAATCTGAATAAGCCACATCCCCTCCCTCTTTCTTTTACTAAAATTATTCTCTCATGCTTTCTTCAACTTAATTATCGTTTAGCTGCTTAAAGTTCCTGAGAACTGTCAAGTTTAGTTCTGTAGCACCAGATGCCACACCCACTGGCAAAATGATTGACAAAGTAATGCTGTATAACACTAAGACTGATCTCACACTAGATCTAGTATTGTTCTTACTACAGCTTAAAAAAAAAACAAACAAAAAGAAACCCCACAACAAACCCACCCATTCTCACATACAATCTGTACCTAACCAATGTTCAGACTTCCACTCCCAGCAACTTCATTAATAAAGTATTAATCGTATCCAGAGCTAAGGATTTGACACACAACATCAGCCCTGCCAGGCCAGGGAGAAGCGTAGGCTTTAACAGGAACAGCTAAATGAAGTTGTAGAACAGAGGTGAGAGTCTCAGCGCTGACACCTAGAGCAGGGCAGAACAAGCATTTAAACCATAAAATGAACATTTAAAGTAAGTTGTTCCACCTACATAAGAGTGATCTTGCTGTCACATGTCTCCACTAAAGAAAAATGTGCTAAATTCCCTCTCTTAGCAGCAAGTGTAGAGGACATCACATTGTCTTTCTACATCTACTATATAATAATTTTAACTGAGTCACTTTGTCTTAATTTCTTGCTTTTTCATAAACTGCTTTTTATGAGGGCTAACTCCCCTCAGATGTGAGATACCTTAAATGGAAGAGCAGATTCCCCCACACTCCTGAATCTGTGCCAGGATACCTTGGGACAGTATCTGTTTAAGGAATGTGGACATGACACTACAGGTCCTTCATTTCTTTCCTGAAGTTGTCACAACAAAATATGGACACACATTTGGAAGGGAGGAGGGAGATGGAGGGAACAGAACTGAGTAAGCTGACGGATTTTTTGGAGGAATTTTGTGATTATTCTTCCCACTACCTGGACCAGCACATTAGTGCTTTCCCAACAGTAACAAATTAACTTAGAAAAATGGAAGGGGAAGCTATAATGTTCACAACTAGTTATAGAGGTGAAATATTTGAAGCACACGCTACTGCGCTGTCTTTCCCTTCTTCTAGTCCTACATAGACAACTGTAATAAGAAACATTAGAGCTATTTCAACAGACTCCCTGTTGCCTCAAAAAGGAACCAGCTAGGAGCAGCACATCTCCTCCCTGTAGCATATTGTTAGCAGTAAAAAACCCCAAGTTCTTTATTAGCTTTATGATAAAAGCATCAGGTCAATAGGAATGGCAGACTCCACAGCACACAGCGATGATGATCAGTATATGACAAAGGATTGCCATATAGACTTTCTGAAATATATTTTTCACTGTTTACTGGAAATGTAAAATATGTATATAAACACTTTTAATAGGAAATACCTAAATTAAGACACACACAGTACAATCATACAGTTTCATTCTCTTGATACAGCAGAACAGTCCTGATTTGAAGCACGTGGACAGCTGTTCATATTGACTAACAGAGCTAGCTATCTGATTACAAACATCTCAATGTTTTATGCGCACACAAAATTTCTGCTTTTCAAAAAAGCTTTACAACAGGTACAAGTTTTTTATGTTACTGTTAATCATGAGCATGAAGAATAATCTTGAATGAATGATCTTTTGAAACGCTACCAGAGTAATTACTTAAGCATGTCTACATTGAGAAGCTATTGTAAAATAAATTACAGCAGAATTCATAGCGTAAGAGCTATTCTGCAACAACTTTTAGACCACACCAAGAATATCTTGAGGTTTGATTCAATATACGTCCCTGAGGGAAAACAAACTTTTTCCCCCACTTTTCCCATGGAAGTAAACTTGGAAGAGTTAAATACCTTGTTCTGCTTCTGAATGAGAAAATTCACTGACTGAATACCTACAAGTTATTCATGTGCTGGAAATTGTTCTTTTCCCTGCTGTAACTTAAACCGTTGTAGGTTCTGGGACTTGGTAGGATTTGTTTTAATAAAAGCTTAACCCTGGATAAAAAATTACTGTAGTAAATTTCAAGAAATACTTACATTCACAAGCAGCTGCTATAAGACGGCAAGCCAAATATGGAGGATCACAAGAAGGGAAGAAAGGTTGAACTATGTAGTTAGCAAAGGTGATGGCAATAATTGCCTGACTAGTTGGCTCAACAATTAGGAGTGAGGTCCACAAACGAATAAAAGCAATGAAGCTCCCAAAAGACTCCAAGATATATGCGTAGCTGGCTCCTGACTTTGTAATAGTGGTTCCAAGTTCAGCATAGCAGAGAGCTCCAAAGACTGAAAAAATCCCTCCGATTGCCCAAATTATTAGAGACAATCCGTAAGATTTGCTGTAGATGAGAACTCCTTTGGGAGAGACAAAGATACCTGAACCAATCATGTTGCCTACTATAAGGCTTATCCCATTTATCAAAGATATTTCTTTCTTCAGTTGCATTGTATTTTGGTTTCCATCCTGCATTTCACAGCTGTCACTTGGATCTGTCCTGTCTGATTTATTGACGGGGCTGTATTCAGCCAGTGAACTATGCGACTTCATACAATCTGTCCTTTCTCCCATTGTGGAAAGACTGTGAATTCTCCACGACGCCAAATCACAATCTAAAACAAAATATAGACAGCTGAAATCATTATAAAATCTTTTATGCCAAGACTTTCTTGCCAAATCTTCTTTCTACCTTTTCACCCTATGATTTACAAATGTAAATCGAGAAATTCCCTTCTGTTACTTCGTATGTGTTCTTACACAAAGGTAAATCCATGCATAGTTAAAATAAACAGAAAAACCAACACACACAGAACAAGAGACAAATTCCAATATAACTTAAGCTGAGAAAGGAGCTTCTACCTTTGGGGGAGGGGGGAGAAACAACAACAAACAACCCAACCAAAAACGAACTGAGGGATTCCAATGTTGAAAAGGAAGAAAGAACAGATAAAAGCAAAGTGACGTGATACAGAAAAGCAAGCACTGTAAGACCAAGCTGGAAGTTCTAATCATGAACATAGATTTATTACAGTACTAAAAAAATTAATCAAATTATTGTACTTACACATGTAAGTTATGAGTGATCTAGTAAGAGGGTTGCACATTTTATTAACGCAGTGTGGGCTCTTGCCAAGGGCAATATGAAGAGATACTTACTCCAGAATCCCCTTGATCCAACTCTTGACTTTTAACTGCTACTAGTTCACTCCCTCCCCCCTCCACGAAACTGTTCCCAGTTCCCACTGCCTCATTTCTTGGAGTTATCTAGGAGCGCAGGCTGTACATGAAAAAACCCACAGTAGTTTCAATCCAAATTCCTCCATTGCATTATTTTACTGTATCTAACAGCACCTAAGAACACAGAGGTGAAATAAACATTTTCCTCTGCTTCAGAATTGACCATTTGGAAATGAACCACCTTCTTCTCAAGTATCCAGGAAATTCTCCCATGCTTTCCAAAAGCAAGTTACTGCTAGTAACATTTATTAGCACAAAAATATACCAGAAATTAGCAGTAATTCTGAATAAGGCCCTTTTTATAGAATTTCAAGTAAGAAATAATCTATTCAAGGAACAGTCTTGTATGGAAACCAGCTTAAATTGCAAATGTACCTTTGATTACTAGGTTATCAGCTCCATAAAGAATAGGCCTTACATAATTACCAGAATGCACTACCATTCATTTGCCCTGCTCCTCATTAAACCCTCAGTGTATACTTCAGCCATTTACTACAGAACAGAAAAATTAAAAAGTCTGGGTCAATTAGAATAAAGCAGCTGATCTAGCAGGGAGAAAAAAAAAGGTTTTGCGCTTTTTTGGGGTAACACTAATTTTACAAATGGTTTTGTTATTCCAACAATAAACTTGCCAACTAAGAGAACAAAAACCCTGAGTACGGGGATTTTAAAAGATCAGTATGCAATCACCCAAACTGCATATATATCTATGCATCTAGTAACATACAAACATACAAGGTTTTGCTCATGCAGTTAGGGGCACACCTTTCTGGAGGGAAACGTAATAATCATACTCTTCCTTTATTATAAAGCCAACGCCTGTATACTACAATACAGAAAATCTGACTTGACATCCCTGAACTAGAATAGTTCTAAAGATGTGAAAAGATTATTTTCAATCAATAAAAAAGTAACTTCTACTGAAATGGAGTACAAACAATTTACTGAAACATGTTACATCATTCACCTCCAGTTCATGAATCTTCTAACTTTTTCCACATTAAAATAGAGACTGTGTTCTTTTAAATAATGCAAAATGAGATCCTCAATCTGTTTAGTTGGATGCCTTCTGATTTATTTCCCCCTTAATATTTCAAAGAAACACAGAGATGGTTAATTACTAAATACATATTTTATCATTTATACATGATTCAACTTTTTATCTAGTGCCATACATACATCACAAGCCATCAAATTTCACATTTTTAATAAGACTAAAAATTTTCAACCTTCCAGAAACTAAAGTCTGCTATTTCAGAACTTAAAAGCTTGAGTGTTATAATGAGGCATCTCCAACAAAATTAAACTAATTAGAAGAGAGGGATCCACACAGTTTCTACAGACGACTGTGCCCAAAACTGCAAAGGAAAACAAAAGCAAATTCAGCTCACCAGTTGTTACTGGTTCTCCTTGTTATTTACTCTTCCATCTATCTTGTGCCAAATTCATTTGCAACCACATACTGGCTGATTTTCTGTTATTGGTGTAGTAGAGCTAAGTCTTCAGAAAGACATACGGCCTATGAGCTTGTAAGATTATTTGGTTTGCTTTACAAGAGAAAGTTCAGTTATTATTATAATAATTTATATTAATTTATACAGTAATCAATTGCAAATATGATGCAATCATCAGAAAGCATAAATGTGTAAAACAGCAGGACAAATAATCAAAGCAGATGTCTTAATGACTAATTTAACCGTAAGAAGTGGATTTAAAGAACACTTGTGACCCGTAGAAATAACATTCAACTCCAAATTGAGTCTTTTCATTTCTATTTTGACTCGGACAAGACACTAGTTGCAAATATATTTCAGAAGGCAAATCACTCTAGACAAATGTCAGTGGAAAAAATAAGAATACTACAGCTACTATTATGACATCCCACTGCCAGTTTGAAAATATGCCATGTTCATTCTCAACCCTTCCCCTATCCCAAAGGATAAAACTGAGTAATATGTTAAGAATTGACTCATGGATATAGAACATCATTCTGGTAATAACTACACAGCTTTATGATTTCTTACTTCACATATCCTAATTATCATTCCCATTTCTTCCTGGAACACCTTTGAAAGTATGACTCGTTCAGAAGCACAAACATGACTTTGAATACTCAGGCATTTTGATGATTTGATTTGATTCAAATTAATTGAATCATTCAAATCAAATCAAATCTGATTTGTTCGCACAGCGGCAGTTTTGGACTAAGAGTCACCACAATTTACCTCATGGTCTGAAGTTCAGAGGTACATTTAATTACCTGTAACTACAGACCCTGTCACTGTTCAAATGCCTCCACCTCAATTAGCAGCACGTGACTGCAGTTCTATACAATTTTGTTACTGATGACCTTGACTGTTTCTTGCCCTATTCTACCCTACCCAGGAAAAAACCACCATAATATCCTCTCAATCTAGCTTATTTTTTCTCTCAATACTCTTTCCTCCTCTTCAAGTCTGCTTTTGTTATTCCCAATTTCAGGCATCTGCTGACAACTAGGATTTGCATGAAGGTGTGTGCAACAGCTCACTCAAGATTTGGCATTTCATTCTCTTCTCTAACCTTGTTTGTTTTATATCCTTAAAGCCTTCAGGGCAGGAATTGCTTATTTGCCTGAGTCGCGTGTCTTATTACACCACCTCTATGACAGAAACAAAACTATTGGCAGGTTTTTTCCTACAAGCACTTCACTTAATCTTAACTGGAACTAAACTCAGCAGCTTTGACTGACTGAAAAAAAAACCCACCAAACCTACAAAGGAGGAGGGAGAGCAGAAACTAGAGAAAACTGAAGCTATGTTAAGATTAGCAATATTGAGGAAAAAACCACATATATTAAAAACCTTTATTCTGCCACAAGACCATTATTTCTGTGGAAGCAGACGACAGGCTTGGAAGAGAAGAACCAGAGGGGAATAGTAAATGTTTTCTAAAATACAATAATCCTATAATACTCCAGTTCAAAATACTGTTAGCTGATTTCTAATGCTGCCAGCCTTGCCACAGGACTGCTATGGCTAATGCAGGCTTATGCCTTCACACAAGCTAACGTGGATTTCCTCATCACTCACCCTTGCGCAATACAAAGTCTTAAACTCTTGTTTTTGCTGATCGTTGCAGCTGTGAGGAATCTTTTTGCTGATATGCATAAGATTCTTTACTGAAATGACACTGCCGTTGATATAGAAAGCTTTGACACAAAACCAGGACACAGTGACCTGAAACGAGGATCACTTCATTGTCTCACCAAAAATACATATTCTGATAAGGCCTATCACATGTTGGCCATGTACCAAAGGAACTAATGAAGGTTAATGTGCAGTTAGCAGAGTACTAACACCGCATTACAGGGTGGCCCTCCTTTAAGAGCAGGGAAAGAGGAACCATCTGCGAAGATCCCCTCTCTCCCACTGAGCAGGACAGCAGCTGACCTGTCATTTGTTCAACTTGGGGTGAACTTGCGAGCAGGTTAATGACGGATATGAAATACCAAACTGCTAAAAGCTTACTATGTTTTGCTATACTCTTATACAATAGTTGCTCATTAGCAAAGATTTCTAGTGTTCTTGCCTCTGTCTTCCGCGGTTGTCTTGATTGCATAAAAACGCTCTTGTTGTAACACAGCTTTACATATATACTTTGACTATTCACGTATAGCAGCTGTAAAACTCCTATTTCTGAACACAATGATTGGCCCTTTGGGTAAGAGTCAAGATTGCCCTACACAGGCAAACAGCATGAAAGTCTTCAGGGAGTTAAGCACCAACAGAGCAAAGGTTGTAAGTCCCAGAAATGCCTATTCCTTGCAATGTATATATTTAGGCACCTCACAGTCTGAACATTTAAGTGGGAAAGGCTTAGAGTTGTCTAGTATGTGTTTTTCTTGTTTCTGGTGAGAGAAGAATCATTTCCCTGCCATACATACAGTTAGCAGACAGGAAGCCCTTGCAACAAAAGCAATTCCCAATGTAAAGATCTAATCTGTTCAACCAAGTCTTTTGTGCTCACATATGCAAACACACCATCTTTAGCACTATAAAAAATAAAATAAACCTTTGATCAAATAGAATGGGTTGTAACACCCATTTTTTTAAAAGCACAAGGTGTGTTTATCATATAAAAAGGTAAGGAAAAGAAGTTACTATGTCAATTATTCACTTGATAGTGTGTCAGTGATGGCAGTAAGTTCTGACTACACACACCTGACACAGCTGCACAAGAGATGTTCAGCAAATACACATACTAGCCACATGTTCAGACAAATCCTGAATAAGGCTATGAACATTAAATGAAGTAGAGATCTATAATCAGCTCACAAACAGATATTCAGTTACAGTGTCTCAGAAACTTTTCAAAACTTCCTAAAGTACCAACC